CAGTGGGTTCTGATCTACTGCTGTCATTATTTATGTTGATGCTAAGATTTACAGCTGGAGAAAGCCAAGGCCAGCAAGTGGGGGGTGAGAATGGGCAGACACACTGATGGACTCGCACACTGTGTGGCCTTTTGTGTCTGGCTTTTCTCATAAATGTTCCCCGCCTCACCGAGGGCCAGGATAGGACTCCTTAACCAGTTAACTGCCATAAAGTTAGTATGACTTTAAGGGGCCGATTCAAGCATGCCATATCCCTGTTAGTCTTCGAGCACCTTTTTTTAAAAAAATTAATATGTTTTATTGATTTTTAGACAGAGAGGAAGGGAGAGGGAGAGAGAGATAGAAACATCAATGATGAGAGAGAATATTGATTGGCTGCCTCCTGCGTGCCCCACACTAGGGATCAAGCCCGAAACCTGACCTCCTGGTTCATAGGTCGATGCTCAACCACTGAGCTACACCGCCTGGGCATGAGCACCTTCTTTTTGACACAAGATGTTCTAGGCTCATCCCGTCCTTTCCCGGGAGGTGGGAACCCTGAAGGTGCCAGTCCGAGGGCATTGCACCCAGTTCTCTGACATGGAAGGACAGGTCAGGAGTGGGGGCTGCTGCAGCAGGTTAGGCCACTGGGAAGGGGGCGTTGCTGCCTAGTTGGGGCATAGTCAGGGCTTCTGGGTCATTCCTAGCTCAGCCTTCCCACCGTGTCTGCCCTGGTCTTTAAAAGCCCCCCAATTTGGTTCACAGGAGGGCTTCCTGAGGACTTCCTGAACTCTCTGGAGAAGACGGAGGATGAAAAATTCAAAGTCACCCTCAAGTACCCTCACTACTTTCCTCTCCTGAAGAAATGCCACGTACCTGAGACCAGAAGGAAGGTGGAGGAAGCCTTCAACTGTCGATGCAAGGAGGTGAGAAGGCGGTGCCAGGGTCCGGCTGTGGAGCTCCGCCTCAGGGCTCTGTCCTTGGAACAGTCGTGTCTGGACCTGGGAGGCGCTGGGCCTGTTCTGTCTGCTCAGAGCAGGGGTTAGCAGCGGTTCTCAACCTGTGGGTCGCGAACAATGAAAATACATCCTGCATATCAGATATTTACATTACGATTCATAACAGTAGCAAAATTACAGTTATGAAGTAGCAACGAAAATAACTTTATGGTTGGGGGTCACCACAACATGAGGAACTGTATTAAAGGGTCACGGCATTAGGAAGGTTGAGAACCGCTGGTTAGAGCGTCTGTCCCAAGCTCATCCTGCTTCTGTCGTGCGTCTCCTCCCACTTAAATCTCACCGACGCCCTCTTTTCTTCAGCTGTCCCTCATGTTCCCACCTAAGCAGTGAATTTAGAACAGCGGTTCTCAACCTGTGGGTCGTGACCCCTTTGGGGGTCGAACGACCCTTTCACAGGGGTCACCTAAGACCATCAGAAAACACATATATAATTACATATTGTTTTTGTGATTAATCACTATGCTTTAATTATGTTCAATTTGTAACAATGAAA